GAAACTAAAAGACTTGGTGGCAATTTTGGTGGCACACATTGGCAGGTCATGTGATTTTTTTTTTTTTGTTGGCAAGGCTTCAGTTTTTATGGCTAGACATCAAAACCATATGAACGGCCAGAAGATCAAGAAACATTTCTTATTCTGCCATCAACAATTTTAAATATTATTTAAATATCATTCGAAAAGGCTCAGGATTTTATTTAGCCAATATTCAATAATTTTTCTGTCTGAATGGCATATGGTAAGTTCATTCACAACTAAGAAGACACTTTGGCTTATGATCAGATGGTTTAATGGGTGCATCTGGCTCTTGGACTTGTCAGACTAAAGCAGACTTCAGTCTGTTTGTGGCCAAGCTCCGCATCTGGTCTCTGACAAACCTGCTAGAACCACACATACAGGTATAACTGTTAGTTAAATTGAAAAAAGTAAGCAAGTGTCTTTAAATTGTCTTGAAAAACATATACTGAGAACATCCAGGAATACTTTGTCTGAGATTAAATGAAATGGTCTATGTGAGTTAATGATCCGATCTCTCTCATCAAGGCATATTTATAGAGCCATCTGTAACAACAGATGCTCTCTCAGTTTAGATTTCTACTGGCCAGCTAAAATGGTGACCTATGGGGCATTGAGCAAAACAGCCTGAGTCCAAATCAAAGCTTGTGGTTGCTCTGAAAATCACTGTCTAACAGCTATAATACAGTGTCATTCATTATACTAATATCATGCGAGTCAAATGTAATCTCAGTCTCATTGAAAGTTGCCAGGCCATGCTCATATGGCACTTAGAAACAGGATCTTATAGCACTTTTTGTCTTCTTAAATCATGGAAGATTTCTGTTCTGTGTGAAATCATTGCAGAATGTTTCATCATAAAAATTGTAATCTGTCTATTTGTTGATCTTTGTTTGTTTAATTTTTTTAAAGGGGTCATATGATGCGATTTCAAGTTTTCCTTTCTCTTTGGAGTGTTACAAGCTCTTGGTGCATAAAGAAGGTCTCTAAAGTTGCAAAGACTAAAGCCTCAAATCCAAAGAGATATTCTTTATAAAAGTTAAGAGTCAGCCACGCCTACCAGCTACTAAACAGCTCGTTCTAACACACCCCCACATATCTACGTCACTATGTGGAAATATTAGCATAATGCCGCCCAAATGTGCACGCAAAGAAAGAAGGCGTGGTTTCAGGAAGAGCAGTAGTGTTGATGCAGCCATGTCAGGGAGACGCTGTGTTTCAAATGTTTATATAAAACAATAGTTTTTTTTGTAGTGAAAAGGATGCTTTGTGATTCTGTGTATTGTACTAACACATTTGAAAACATGATGAAATCTATTTTTTTAAAGTGCACTTATTATAAGTACTAAGAGATATTAGTACCAAGAGTTTTACAAATGTAACACTTAGGCCCTTGTGAAAACTGTGGTAAAGCAATAAAAAAATTATTAAATTAAATTATTAATCTGCATTTACATTGCATAATGCACATCTACTTTTCTACCGTCCACTGCTATATCATTATGTCAATCTGTCACTGCAATATCGAAAGAGAATCCCATATTTATATGAGGGTTTTATATGTCACTCCCGAAACTTTGCTGCATGTACAGGGTATGTGGCCGCTGGTCCTGATAGCAGCACGAAAAACAAAACGTTGATACACTCTTAAAAATAAAGGTGCTTCACGATGCCATAGAAGAACCTTTTTGTCTAAATGGTTCCATAAAGAACCTATAACATCTGAAGAACCTTTCTGTTTCACGAAAGGTTATTTGTGGTGAAAGAAGGTTCTTCAGATTACAAAAAGGTAAGAAAGAGATGGTTCTTTAAAGAACCTTTGACTGAATGGTTCTTTGTGGAACCAAAAATGGTTCTTCTATGGCATCGCTGTGAAGAACCTTTTGAAGCACCTTTATTTTTAAGAGTGTATGTAGCCCTCCCTTTATAACCACTAAAAAGCTGTCAGTCACTCAACAAGTTCCCTTAAAATCAAAGAAGCTCTCTATACTGTACAATGAATCTCTTACTTACATTGTGTCTGTATTTCATTACAATGAGACGTTTCACCAACATACAGATAAAAACATTGAGCGGCGAGTGAATTCTGGCTAATTTGAACGCCATGGCCCATGGCCAATCAAAAGTGTCCCAGAAATCAACGGATATGTCTGTGATTGGCTACGTTGCTCAACGCTACAAAAAGGTGTTGTAAATAGAAACTTTTGATGCTCTCCAGAGCGCAAACACTAATATGCAATGGAGAGATTGGCAAATCTGTTTCGCCTACAGATTTGGCAAATCTTGCTTTCGTTTGAGGGTGCTTTTCATTGCGTGAGAAAATGGACCTGTGATGAGAGCTTGAGAACAGTGTCAAATTCGAGTCTCAGGCTGAATGTGTGAGAGTTGGCAGCCCTAAGATAGATAGATAGATAGATAGATAGATAGATAGATAGATAGACTCAGAGAAATATACATTTTAGGCTTTGTATTTCACAGATTTCCACAGAACTGAACTAAACTATATTTACTTGAACTATGTAGACCTAAAATGGAAAATAAACGCACTTATAATAGTAAAATAGCATGGCTAGTACCAGTGTTGGGGAAAGTTACTTTTAAAAGTAATGCATTACAATATTGCGTTACTCCATAAAATAGTAACTAATTACGCTACTTAGTTACTTTTTATGGAAAGTAATGCGTTACGCTACTTTTGCGTTACTTTTTAAATCTGGACAGGGCTTGCTTGTTTGTTTTTAAAATAAAAAAGTTATATTTTTGGCAAATATATAAAAGCCTTTTCACACCAAAAGTGAAATGAATAAGCCTCAGGCTGAAGGGAAAGTAAATTTACGTCCGTACAGTAGAATGCAGAAGAAGAAATATCAACACACTTCAGCAATAAACAAAGACACACAAATGTTTGTCTAGAGTAATTTGTGCTTATTAGTATGATTGAACTGGATCATCGAAGGTCAGAAGCAGACATAGGTTAATAGAATGGGATTAAATACATAAAGGATATTTGTGTTGGAAACTTTGCTGCATGTACAGGGTATGTGGCCGCTGGTCCTGATAGCAGCACGAAAAACAAAACGTTGATACACTCTTAAAAATAAAGGTGCTTCACGATGCCATAGAAGAACCTTTTTGTCTAAATGGTTCCATAAAGAACCTATAACATCTGAAGAACCTTTCTGTTTCACGAAAGGTTATTTGTGGTGAAAGAAGGTTCTTCAGATTACAAAAAGGTAAGAAAGAGATGGTTCTTTAAAGAACCTTTGACTGAATGGTTCTTTGTGGAACCAAAAATGGTTCTTCTATGGCATCGCTGTGAAGAACCTTTTGAAGCACCTTTATTTTTAAGAGTGTATGTAGCCCTCCCTTTATAACCACTAAAAAGCTGTCAGTCACTCAACAAGTTCCCTTAAAATCAAAGAAGCTCTCTATACTGTACAATGAATCTCTTACTTACATTGTGTCTGTATTTCATTACAATGAGACGTTTCACCAACATACAGATAAAAACATTGAGCGGCGAGTGAATTCTGGCTAATTTGAACGCCATGGCCCATGGCCAATCAAAAGTGTCCCAGAAATCAACGGATATGTCTGTGATTGGCTACGTTGCTCAACGCTACAAAAAGGTGTTGTAAATAGAAACTTTTGATGCTCTCCAGAGCGCAAACACTAATATGCAATGGAGAGATTGGCAAATCTGTTTCGCCTACAGATTTGGCAAATCTTGCTTTCGTTTGAGGGTGCTTTTCATTGCGTGAGAAAATGGACCTGTGATGAGAGCTTGAGAACAGTGTCAAATTCGAGTCTCAGGCTGAATGTGTGAGAGTTGGCAGCCCTAAGATAGATAGATAGATAGATAGATAGATAGATAGATAGATAGACTCAGAGAAATATACATTTTAGGCTTTGTATTTCACAGATTTCCACAGAACTGAACTAAACTATATTTACTTGAACTATGTAGACCTAAAATGGAAAATAAACGCACTTATAATAGTAAAATAGCATGGCTAGTACCAGTGTTGGGGAAAGTTACTTTTAAAAGTAATGCATTACAATATTGCGTTACTCCATAAAATAGTAACTAATTACGCTACTTAGTTACTTTTTATGGAAAGTAATGCGTTACGCTACTTTTGCGTTACTTTTTAAATCTGGACAGGGCTTGCTTGTTTGTTTTTAAAATAAAAAAGTTATATTTTTGGCAAATATATAAAAGCCTTTTCACACCAAAAGTGAAATGAATAAGCCTCAGGCTGAAGGGAAAGTAAATTTACGTCCGTACAGTAGAATGCAGAAGAAGAAATATCAACACACTTCAGCAATAAACAAAGACACACAAATGTTTGTCTAGAGTAATTTGTGCTTATTAGTATGATTGAACTGGATCATCGAAGGTCAGAAGCAGACATAGGTTAATAGAATGGGATTAAATACATAAAGGATATTTGTGTTGTTTAACATTTAATTATTGCAGGTTTGCGTCATATTCTGAGTTGCGTTATTTTGAGGAAAACTGAATCTGTGTGTTTTTGTTGTTGTGTGTGAGTGAGATGAATTAATGCATATTCATATTTATTTTAGAACTACAGTAACATCTGATTTCTCTCAACATGGGGACAGGAGAGCTGTCAATCAATAAATTGGAAAAAAAAGTAACTTGGGTTACTTATTTGAAAAAGTAACTCAGATATTCTCTTGTAAATTAAAAAGTAATGCGTTACTTTACTAGTTACTTGAAAAAAGTAATCTGATTACGTAACTCGCGTTACTTGTAATGCGTTACCCCAACACTGGCTAGTACACGTTTCCAGTATTGCGAGTGACACTTTTGAGTGCGGGGGTAGTTGCCATGTGTTGCTCTAGTCTTTCCTCTATAGTACAGGCTACTAACTTCGGGAGAAAGTACGAGCGCATGCACAGCAACACGCTCAGTTGGAAGTCGAGTGCGCTGCTGAGAAGAGCAGAAGAGAGGAGAAAAGGAGGGCTGCGTAAAGTGACCAGAGTGACCAGCGGAGTTGATGTTCTTTCAGCTGCTGTTCTGTATCTTTCTCTGTCTTTTAGATTAAAGACGTTTATGATTTTTACTTAATTAGAAGGCGTTTGGCGTTATACAGGGAAAGCGCATAATGGAGCCTATAACAGTGACTGTTAGTGATTTTTCCGAGCGGTATCCTTTAATTCTGCCAAACTCGAGCTTTGTGGAGGAACCAGCGGGACTTCTGTCCAACTGGAGCGGAGGCAGCGAGCCGAAGGCGGTGAAAGACAGCACTGCGGTCGCTATCGCTGTGTGCATCACCGCGCTGTACTCTGTCATCTGCGTGGTGGGACTGTTCGGAAATATTCTGGTTATGTACGGTGTGGTCAGGTAAGAGAAATAATTTATTTCAGTGAATATGTACTTCAGAAGTCTCAGGAAGTGGGATGATCATTATTTAATTGATCACATTTTGACATTAATAAATAGAAGCTTAAGTGCACAAAGTCTAAAGAGAAAGATGCACGCATGCAAATATTTTGTTTGGAATCTAAGCAAGTGCTGGAAGATAAGAGACAGGGCTGAGGAGCGAGATTGTTGAAGTGCTGATCTGAAGGTGGCTGTGAGAACCCTCCACTCAGCACCAATGGAACAGAGAACAGAACCAGTCCAAATTATATCACCCACAGATATGCCAGTTTAGCTTATGGAGGAAGAACAATTTTCACAGCATGTACAATTCAAAGCTCACTTGTGAAAGCTGCTGTTATCATCTGGTCTCGTTCTTTTCACGCAATTTACAGTCATTATGTAATCTGGATTAGATAATTGGATTAGGCTACACAAATTAATACTTGTAATTTGTTTATATTACTTTTTCAAATAGTCATATCAAACCACAGTTACTGTTTTTATTGATTAGATAATATTTAAAAATGGCAGTAAATTATTCATAGTTGATTCATCCTCCCAAATTATTCATTTTATCTTTCTCTTTTTTTATATAAGATTATATATGTTTGGAAAGTCCTCCAGTTTTGTGCGACTGCACACAGACCAGCCACTAGTCAGGTGGCTGTAGTTGCACAGACAATTGAGAGGAATCAGAACATAAACAAATAATATACTTTTACGATTTCATTCCTTATTGGCTTTTCATCAGTTTACAAATTCCCTGCAGTTCTTTACAAACCCCAGTTTGGGAAAACCCTGATGTGATGTTTATTGCACTTCGTGTTATTAATATCTAATAATGGTATACGTTTTCTTTCTCTTTGCACTTCATATCAGTATGGAACATTATAAGCCTATAATTAATGTGATACACACGGTAGGTCAAAAGTAATCAGATTATTAACTAAAATGTGTAATGAAATAGATTACATTACTAATTGCAATTTTCCTCGTGTAACTTGAATTCAATAACTAACTACAGTTTGTAATCTTCCCAGCACTGTGTATTTATAAACTATATATAGAGAGAGAAAGAATGAGTTCCTTATATTGAGGTTCGATACTCAACTCCACAAAGCCAAAAGGAACATAAGAAAACATATTTGGAACAAAATGCTTTATTAAGCAAAATAAATTTATATTTAATGTTATGATGTCATTTTTGAAACTCCTTAAAGGTTCTATCACAGTAAAATTGAAAAGCACCATTTGGGGCTCCTCAGAAACCCTATGTAGAACCGCTAAAGAAACACCATTTTAAATGTTCTTTTTAAACTATTTTAATATATTTTATATTCAAGAACTTTATAGATTGTCAAAAGCTCCACACCCTCAACCAAAGCTTATAAAGAACTTCAAGCACAAATAATACGGCATGACTATAATCAATCCCAGGAAAATGATGTTACCAAGCACAGAGCTAATTATTCATAAGAAAACAAAGTGTTTATGTTAGGTTGCATACATTTAAAACAAACTACAAAAACATACATACGTAGTTCACAGCTTTAGAAACCTGTGCATTTTGCCTATTTAGGCAAAAGAAAATCGGACGGAGCAAAAATCCAAAACCAAAAAGACCTGCCTTGAAATATATGGAGTTCCCTCCGAGGTGTTCAGATCACAGAACTATTACAATACAGCTAGATCACATCTTTCTAATCTATTCACAGCACATATCTTCAGGAGTGCAAAGCCACTGCCTAAGAGGAACAGTCTGAATGAGCTAATCATATTCGCGATGTCTGGATTGCCTGTCTTTCAAAGAAGCCTTTTCTCATTTGGAGACGTAAAAAAATGTAGCAGAAGAGAGTATTAAAGCGTATCTGCCTGGAAGGCAGAAACTGTACAATAGGAAGCCTGATGTGAAAAGAACTCATTAATAATTCCCCCTAAAGTTTCAACTGCAGACAGAAAACATGATATAAATACATTTTAGATTGCAACCATATCAAAGTTTCCCCCTCATTTTATTCTGTTAGTTCTCATGCTGCACAAAAAAGACATTTTTTCTTGTTTGTTTTTTTCCTTGTAAAAATATCTTAACGTCCCCAAAAAAGTAAACGGAAACACAATTAGATTCACATGAGACTTTAAGACTCCTTTTTAGATTTTTTTTCTTGTTTTAAACACAAACATAACAAAATTGAGTGAAGTTTCTGCTTAAAATTACAAAAAACTATTTGCAATATATTCATTGGTCAACAATACAAAAATATATACAAAAACAATCATTGGAAAATTGTGCCCACACACCATTTAAATGTCAATAACATGGCACTACCTCTAAACATTATTTTCCATAACAGGTTTGTGGCAGAAAACTGTTCCCTGATACAATGAATTAGTGTGAAACGTGATTCATGGCAGTGCTAAGAGTACAAAAACATGTACAAAACATAGCAAACCAGAATGAGGGACTAGTGTAAAATTAGAGATACAAACATGAGTCATGGATATACAGCAAAACATATTATGCACTCTGTACAAAAGACTTAATGGAACTCATAATAATGGATTTATTCATCTCACCACATGTACAGTATAGCCATGTACAAAGAGAGGAATAAACTGTAGTGTCACTAATGGATGCGCTGTCTTCTCTCTTCTTCTCTGTGAGACTTCAAATGTCAAGTCCTCAAAAGATATCACAGTGTGTGGGCACCAGACAAATCTCAAAGAGAGGATAATCAATGGATACAAATTTATGCCTTTGGCATTGGGCTTTCTTTAGTAACTATGGTCGCTTCCTTTCAAAGTATACCCCATCATTCATCAGCCTACTACTAATTTGGATAAAAAAGAGAGAGAAAATTATGAGCTGATTATTGTATGATATCACAGAGAGACGCCTTCATTTAATGAAAGCATATTGTTAGCACCTGCTGGTAGATGTTGTAACTATACACTTTATCACAATCTCTGCACTGACAGCCATTACAATTTAAATTTTTAGCCATTACAGCCAGATCATCCATTATATTTCTAATAATAGTAATAATAATAATAATAATAACTAAAATAATGATTGTTCAAAAAAAGTGGCACAAATGTTTTTGCTAGTAGCTTAAAAATAAACACAATGATATCCAAAAAGTTTGAAAAAATACTATATTGTGTTAATGTTGTGTTTTAATGGAAAACAAGCATAACAAGCCAAGTTCTGAAAAAAATAATGTTTTTATCAAATCACGAGAATATAAAGAATAATGAATAAACTAATACATGGCATCATTTTCATAGGTTAACATTTTAATTCTTGACCATAAAAGTTTATTAAATTGTGGAAGGGTGTTAAAAGAGCACATATGGCTCTCTTTTTTTCCATTTTTTTAATTGATCATCGTGTTAATCATATGCGATATTTATAATGAAAAGGGCAAAGCAGAGAAGAACCTCAAATCATGCACAATCAGTGCATCCCATTCATCTGCATCTGTATTCATCAATGTTCATATCGTCATTGCAAACCCAGGTGCAGCAGATCGACATTCGAAAATTATGAAGTGTTCATCTTTGCTGAATATCTCAGACTGACTTTTTCTCTTTTCTTCTTCAGGTACACAAAGATGAAGACAGCTACCAACATTTACATCTTTAACCTGGCTTTGGCTGATGCATTAGCCACCAGTACTTTGCCCTTCCAGAGTGCCAAATACCTCATGAGCACCTGGCCATTTGGGGAGCTCTTGTGTAAATTGGTCATTGCTATTGACTACTACAACATGTTTACCAGTATTTTCACTCTGACGATGATGAGTGTAGACCGTTACATTGCTGTGTGCCATCCAGTGAGAGCCCTGGACTTCCGCACACCAATCAAAGCAAAGATCATCAACATCTGTATATGGATTCTTTCCTCTGCTGTCGGCTTCCCAGTCATGGTTATGGCCGTTACTAGAGTGACACCCACAGGTGAGGACAAAATGAGTGGGAAAAATATGTGTTATTCAGCTTATTGATTATGATTCAATTGGTCAGTGAATTTATGGCTGTCACTCAGTTCGACAGCACATAATCATAGACAAGCATTGGTATAACATGACTTTTTTTTTTTGCTCAGTGAACTAGATGTTAATACTGAGTAATATTTTAGATATTTAAAAACAAAACCACACTGAATTGTTTAACGCTCTCAGAGCAGCACATCATAGTGTTCATTTCCTGGATGAATTATTCTATTTAAACAAATTGGTTAAATGAATAATTTAATGACTCGCTCATTAGGACAGCCACGTGTCTTGGGTCCTGAATGAGTTTTTTTTAATGAATCTGTTGATTGCATTAAATGAAGTTAATATCTGTGTATGAAATTGCATACTGTCTTGTAGGTAGGTACTACATTTGGTTTGGAATTTTGTTCGCAACATTAATTCCCTGTTCGTAAACAGTTTGTTCCCTGTTTAATACTGTAAAGCTGCTTTGACAATCTGCATTGTAAAAAGCACTATATAAATAATGGTGACTTGACTTGACATTATGTCCTCCTTTATAAGATGAATGAAATTTGGACATGCTACATATATCATGTTGTCATTATCATATGACCTTACAGCATCAGGTCACTGTCAAGTGAAGGTTGCTTCACTGCCATTTACAAATCCTAGTAAAATGCCCATCAAATGCGCACTTCAGATTTTCACATACTGGTCTGTATGACTTCAGACATACTACTTCTCACATACTATTAGTAGGGATGCAGGAAGTCACTTGTTGTCACCTTGCACAATTATATAACGTGCACAGAATAATATATTTCAGCGCTCTTGGAATGCTGCATGGCCAACCAGATTTATAAGAAGTAAATACTGGAAATAATTAAAAAAGTCATTAAATTTGAACTGATCAGTAAATTCAACTAAGAAATGACTCTAGACTCACCTTCTTACCTTCTTTTCACATACATTCTTCACAGGCAAAACAGTCTGCACGTTGAAATTCCCAGACCCAGATTGGTACTGGGATACTGTGACCAAGATCTGTGTTTTCATTTTCGCCTTTGTGGTTCCCGTCTTGGTCATCACCATCTGTTACGGCCTGATGATCCTTCGTCTCAAGAGTGTACGCTTGCTGTCCGGCTCCAAAGAGAAGGACAGGAATCTCCGGCGCATAACCCGTATGGTATTGGTGGTGGTGGCGGCCTTCATCATCTGCTGGACCCCCATCCATATCTTCATCATCATCAAAACTGTGGTGGAGATCGACCAGAAGAATCTGCTTGTGGTCGCCTGTTGGCATCTGTGTATTGCTCTGGGCTACATGAACAGCAGCCTCAACCCAGTCCTGTATGCGTTTCTGGATGAAAACTTCAAGAGGTGCTTCAGAGAATTCTGCTTGCCCTTTCGTTCCCACATGGAGCAGAGCAGCTTTTCCAGAGCCCGTAGTGCCACGAGAGAGCCCATCTCGGTGTGCGCCAAGTCTGAATCGATGAAACAGCCCACATGACTAGACCTGGAACAGATGCCTTCTGATACACAACCAAGGACACAGAAAGATCTGCAGTCTGAGGACACCCAGATCTCCACCACTGAGTTTTAAGCTCCTTTAAGGTAAATACAACTTGACAACAAGCCCAGATACTGAAGGCAAAATGCCATGTTGGTTTGTTAGTCGTTTTTTCAATCTTTCTTAATTTCACTTTGTGGAAAAGCAATGGATCGCTCACTGCAAACTGTTTTCCTAAGGGAGGAAATGAGATAATTTGGACCAATGTACAATAATCATGCTTTGAAAAAAAAACATCAAAGATGTGGCCTTGAATGGTCAACAGGAAATCTACATTCATGAGTGGTATATGACCCATCAAAATCGATTCCCATACTCAGATTTTTAAATGAAAGTCAATGCATTTCCTTGGAAATTGTAGGAACTTGTAACAGAAATACAAATGTCCAAACAAAGAACTAAATACACAAATTCAACTTCTCAAACAATAAAATAAGCTGTAAGATTTTCATTTAAAGAGAGAAGCAATCTTGCTTCACCGAACAATGAAAATGTACAGAGGTCTTTTTCCACTCCATAATAAAAGGATTTCATTAAACCTGAGGATAAATATATATGGAGAAAGAGAGAGGTGTCGGATACAGAGAATGGAGCAAAATTTAATCTCAATGCTTGCAGGATAGATTTGGATGGATGACAGGGATCCTTCCCTCAGGATGACTGTTAAAACAGACTGTTATATAAACTCTCGACACATTATTCATTTCATGGTGCTTGATAAGGTGTCATTTTGTAAATTTGTGCTACTAGTGAAGGTGTTTGATGACCTTTGACTATGAAGTATACAGTGTTCATACTAGGAGCATACAGTATGTGTAGATGAGCTCTGAGACTATTACAGAGGGGCTTTTAGATATTTTCATTTTAGTTCTTTTTAATGAAGTATTTAGTGCAACCATTCTTGCATTTCATTGCCATTAGCACAGAATAGCTGTTTTTTGACCTTCTTCAAATTCCAAAGTTGAAATGACATTTAATGAGTCATTTTGTGATATTAGCGTTTGATTCTAAATGTCAGTTTTGTTGTAAAAGGAGAGTGAGTTTAGTTTCTTGAGCTGTTATAGACAAACTTTTTCCAGTCAAGGATGTTTATGTATTAGCAGTGAGTATTGCTTTGCTGTAGAACCTGTATGTACTTTTGTGCAACTGTTGGATATTTCCTCATGATTATATTTTTATGGCACCAGAATTAGACATCACAAATGATCTTAACTGTCAGTGATTATGTTGTGAAAGCTAAAAAAATAATAATAATACATTTTCTGTAGGTTGCATGGATGTTGGGAAAAAATAACCTTTATCTAAAATAATTTTCACTATACTCACATGACGAGCAAGACTTCGACGATATCATCTCATGAAAAAATACATTTATCATCTCATTATTTATTGAATGATAAATAAGCCTGTCAACCTTTTAATGTGTTTTGAAGATTTAAATTGTGTTTGGTAAAAATATAACAAAAGCCTTAAAAAGAGAAATGAAAAACTACTATGCTAATTTTCTGCAGGTACTTGTAAAGGTTGGAGACTCAAGCACTGTTACATAATCTCTTCAGCAGACAACCTATAGACCCCGTGTTATGAAATATACTGGATAAGTGCTCTTGAAACAAGATAAAAAATAAAAAAGAGGTTGTTGTATAATGACTGTTGTATAAAGAAAATCGTTTGTATTTTTGCTGACTTTTGTCGTCTGTCTAGTCATAAGAAACAAAATGTCATTTTACTCAGGCTAGTTAAAAAAATTGCATCGTCAGTTAATAATTATTTAAAGGTGCGATGTGTAATATTTACATCGATCTATTGACAGAAATGCAATATAATATACATAACTATGTTTTCAGAGGTGTATAAAGACCTTACTTAATGAACCGTTATGTTTTTATTACCTTAGATTGAGCAATCTATGTACACCGCGGGTCCCCTTACATGGAAGTCGCCACCATGTTTCTACAGTAGCCCTTAACGGACAAACTGCTCTACACAGCGCGTCTCGTCACTTTGTTGTTCTTGCGAATAACACTGACACAATGATGAACAAGTACATTAATATTCACAATAACATTGATTTATTAAATAAGTAAATATAATTCCTTAATTTAACTTTGTAAAGAATTCTCATTGCTCTCTGCTGTCTTTACCGACGACATCTTAGTCCTGTATTGGCCACCGTAGCTTCTCTAAAGGGAGGGGTGAGTGGGGGACTGAGCCGTTGGTTGCAATTCGCAAAATTTACACACTGCACCTTTAAGTCACCGTCTACTTCCATTATGTGGAAAAACAATATGGTAAAACTGGGTGTAGTGCTTTTTTAAAACCCTGAATTATCAGCACGAAATTGCGTGAAATGGGCTTTAGGGGCAGCAACAAATGCACATGTACATCCAAAGCCACTGGAAGGCAAGCCTGCAACCTTTAGCCAAAAAAGCATAACGTCTAATGCTAACGCTGCCGCTTTCGCAGTACACAGGGAAAGAGACCAGAGGCCTTTTAGTTTTTGAATGGATGTCATTGGAGGAGCCTAAACCGCTTTAGTGAGGAAACAGCGTATCGTTTAAAGAATTGACAGCCTATCAGCTAATCTTCAACTTGTTTGTCATTAAACAGTAGTTTTGAATTGAACTATTTTTAGAGCTTACACCAAAAAAAAGCAATTTTTTAAGAGAAGTCACTGACTTTTTGCGACAGGTAGAATTTATTTTACGGCACTTCTCATTTATTTCTATAGTATCCGTAAACGGCGATTGACTGTCGCACAACTCTGTTTGATATTCAATGACTTCAAGGCTGTAATGTGATTGTTTGTCAAGGCACACGTTATCCGAGTTGACCGTTACGCTTTCTCCAATGGTAAGTAATACAGACCCTCGTATCTTACAATAATAAAGGTAGCATTACAGCTATCCACTGTAATTACTACAGTGCTATATTTACATTGAATTGCACTCACTTAACTGTAGGGGGCTCCAAAGTCTCAAAATTCTACAACATACTGTCGATTTAACTTGGCGAATCTATTTAGTTCATTGTATATTTAGTTATATTGTTAATTAAATAATTAGTCCACATTTATTTGTCACAATGGAAAGAAACCAAAAATAAGGTATGAAAATCAAAGGGCTCCAAAGGATCTCTGCACTTTTCACAGACAGGGTATAAAATAGGTCCTGAAACTTATATGTTGATTGTCAGCAAGTCAAGAGTGAAACTATGCTGTTAATAAGTCCAAGCTGGTTTGTTTTTGCAGCTTAATTGAATAGAGGGATCCTGTTTACAGTGGCTTTCTGGATGCGAGAGGAGCAGAAGCAGCCCACCTGTTATATTTGAAAGCAGCACCCTGATATTTAAAGCATTGGCGTATTCCTTGTGCCATAGTAGGGATAATGGACTCTGGAAATGGCTATGGAAGGATACAGAGTCTCAACCGGCCAACAGACACAAATACAGAATCTTAGAAAAGCAAATGGCCTGAATAACGAACAACATCATTATGGCCAGCAAATGTCGTTTATGTGCTTCTCCGGTTCCTCGTTATTGTGGTTTGGAGTGTCAGTTACATAATGGCATAAACAGCAGATCTGAGAGCAACGCTGTTTGGGTGGAGGGAAGCATCACAAGGCACAGTGATGACAAGAGACAGCATGTCAGCCAGATTGATCAATAGGATCACACTCTGCACTAAATTGCGCTCAACCCCATTCAGTGTCCTTATTATGAGATGCGCTATTAACAAGCTGCGGGCTAAATCAAGAGTCAAGTTTAGATTTTACACTCAACTCACATTCTTATACATTTGGCAAGTGATGTTTAACATGTCCACGGGGTAAAGTGCTAAATCAAAAACTTAAAGTAATATTTTTTTGGAGGAAATGCATAGCCTCTTCGGTTGACTATATTTTTTATCATATATTTATTGAACCGTCAACTGTCACATATAGCTAAAACAAAATATATGTATAAATATTAAATGCAGTATATATTAGGTCAGTTATGCTCTAAGCTTAGTTCAGTTCCCATATAATTTATCTCAGGGGAATATGGTAAAATCATACCCATTTCCAATAAGACCAATCTTCCTTTAAGAGTTGCTCTGTTCAGTTTCCAGAGCAACCATCAATAACGACTGGTCTAATGGTTAAAGGCATCCTGATGTTATAAACATACAATGCACATTTCATGCCTGAAAGAACAGAAAATATCATATCTAACCCCAACAATTACAGGCATGCCAGTTTTCAGTTTTGAAAACAGAAGCGCTTTACTCATGTCAACAGTTGTATCAGTTATGGTGCACTCTATAATTTTTTTGTTCTTAAAAAAGAAACAGCTTTCTGTTGGCTAAAGTGGCAAATCCATGTGACCAACTTGAACCTGCTGCGAAATCTGAGGTGAGGAAATATTTGCCACTCTAAATTCCTGATTGCATGGATTCCTTTTAAAATTTCACTAATGAAAATTTGCTTCATGAAAGAAAAATGCTCCAGCTGGTTGTGATCTGTACATGATTTTAAACATTTTTGTATGTCAAAACAATACAAAACATGTCAAACTTTTTAATGAGACAAAAATACTGAGTGCACCTTTAAAGAGCAGTGCTTTTAAACAATTCATGAACTGCCTGCTGTGAAACTTTTCCATGACAGGTTTAGAAGCGAATGCTGGAAACAATGAGTCATTTATACTTTTGCAAATAAGGATGTCCCTCTCAAACACATTTAATGTAGCTTGCTGGCATTAAAAACAATAACATTTAAAGCCAGTGCCCTGTCCACTTCTCAGTGCAGATGCCTCACACATCAGAAAACATTGATGACAGCATTAAATGATGGTGGTCAATTAAGTGCTTGCAGAAGAGGCTGTTAGCATTTCAAAGCTTTCAGAGAAAGTGGGCCTTGAAGGGTTTTTCAACTGAAATACCCCACAAAGTCTCTCAGCATGACTCACTGTGGGCTGGAACATAAAGACCAGACCAGGAGCACAATACCATTTCCCCTTCATGGATGCTGAAGTGGTGTTTTGAGCTGCAAATTTTATCAAGTGACCAAACCATTTCCAGCCTCAAGTGTTTTCAACAATTTAGGACATACATATGTAAGCATCAGCTCTTACATTTCATATAGCAGAGTATACATTTCTTCTGGTTGCACAGGGCCACCTTCTATAGAAGAAATTCAGATGTAAAAAAAAAAACTTTATCTGTGGAACACAAAAGTAGGCATTTCACAGACTGAGACAGTGACTGTTGGGCTACTTAAAAAAAAATAAAAAATCTAAAGCCAAACACTTTGTAAGGATTATACTAAGATGCAAGCAATTTAACTGAAGAATATCACTTTAATCTTGAGCACATCGCTGCCATCCAGTGGATAAACAGCACAAATACAAAGAAACATTTAGCACTTCTAAAAGTGAGATGTTTCTTTAAAATATATTTTTTACTTTAATGTGCAGCTACAAGAATACATTCTTGTAGAAACATTTAATAAATGTAATCCTTATGTCTGAAATTAATTATAGAATAAGATGAAAATGAAGACTTCTATATTTTCAAATTAATTAAACCTCCTGCCTAAAATCTAAATTTACTCACAAATATAAGCATGTCAGAAACCTCCCCCCCACACACAAGACCCTGTAAAAGGTAATAATAATCACTAAAGGTTTGAAACTAGACATTAAAAATTGACGCTTTAAATCTCATCTAAATGTGTGTGCGCGGGTTTTTTTTTTTCAACGAGTAATCATGCATCAGATTCTGTAAAACCTCATTTTTATTAAGTGTCCACAGGGCCAGCAATGCATGGATACAATAATGGTTTCATTTAGGAAAACGGTTAACATTGCAAAGTACAGGAATACCAAATTTGTTTTTTGTGTGTGTGTGTGTGATATAGATTAGACCGGCTATCGTAAACCTTTTATTGCTCAGACCAAAATGTGGAATTAAAAAAAAAAAAAAAAAAAAAAAAAAAAAAAAAAAAAAAAGGTTTTCCAGGACTTATCTAAAAGACATTAAATCACCTTTCAGCTCATACATGCATACAATCACTCACGACAGGCGGTCTCCAGGAAGCATACTAAAGATCTTTGTTAAAAATAAGACAAAACAAAGAAAAAGAAACAGTCCATTAAAAAAAGATCTTCGATCATCTACCGGATCATATCCAGTGAATGTTTGGGCTCCCCATATAGCGGGATAAAAGGTTTAATTAGATGATTCTCATCCTACCCTTTCCCTCATTCGCTGGCTTAGCTCAGCACAGGAAGCATTCCCAACCCCAGACACCCCCGATCATGATCAAGCTATAGGTTACAGATACCACTGATACAGTAGTTTGGCTCAGCTGTCTTTAGTCAAGGAGTTAAAGATCAGCTCTCCTGCTTGTCTTTGACCAGCAGGACTGTGTGCTGCCCTCCACTGGACACTGATAGAACTACACGGTTCTCCAGCTGCTTTCCCGTCATCTCCACTGGGCTCCATTCATCATCCTCCTCTCCTGTACCCAGCTGCAGATTGGTGCCCATGCCCCAGGAAAACACAGAGCCTGGCCAACAGATAGCAATGTTAGAAAACTAAAACACAGCTCTGATGATCAAAACAAGCCAAAGGTACCTTCTGTTATTTGGTCCAAAATATAAACTGCTCTGATTGGTGCAATTAACGTAACTAGAGGT